TACTAAGCACCAGACAGTCATTGCTTTACGATGTCTCTGTGTGCATTTCTGAATTTCTATCTACCTGCCTATCTGTCGCGATCTATGCACCTACTCATCTATCTGTGACTAGATCACTAGCTATTGATTAGGTATCGATCTGACTCTTTGGCAATCCATGTTTTAAACATGAAGTTATGCAGCATTTTATGGGCCATGGGTATACACGACTGACACAGAAGCACGACCCGTTCTCGCGATTATGTGGTCCTGGTGTAGTAGGTCTAGACAGAAAAAAGTTGTCCTGGTTGCAAAGGGGTGATTGTGTGGGATGGATATTTTGGATGCTTGGTTTGCTGTAGAAGGATGCAGTTCAGGAGCATGGCGAACTTCGAACCTATACTGCCAGTTGAAGAGCGGAAAATTCCCGAACCACGAGACTTCATCTGGCTGTGCTGAGTTGTAAGAGCAGCCCTGAACTCCAAGAGATCCCTATCTCTCCGAGCTCTGAGGCCCTGAGGGCCAGGTCTTCAGCGTCGATAGCTGCCAGAACTGCACCGTCTGGCAGCAAGCTGGATGGGTTCTAGGCTTGGTGTTGTGCCTTGGGCCCAATCAGGGTTGCTGCTCATGCGGATTGCCATTGGTTGTCAGTTCAGGGTTCAGCCCATGAGGTGGCAGCATGGTGCAGAAGGGCCTGCAGGATCTTTCAGGCAGGTTGAAGGTTGAAGGCTTTACTTGACCATTTGCACCAGCCTACGGTCGCACAGGACAGGTCCGAGTGCCAACAACTGCAACAACAACCACATCATATTTCGATAGAGAAGGGCGGAATTTCTGGGAAGAAGCGCATGCTGCACCCTGACTAAGGATTTTTCTGGGGTTGGTTGTGGCCTACTACATGCTCACCTTGCAAAGTACGGCGAAGGCCGTGGCTTGTAGCGCTTCCAACGTTGGGGCTCTTGTTTGTTTATGGGATGGTGCCCCTGTATATATCTGCCAGATCAATTATTGAGGAGTATGGATCTTAGTGGCGAGGTCATTGTTGTCATGATCAGGAGGGGCCAAGGCAGAAAGGAAAACACAATCATCTACTTGACTGAGGGCCCGGGGGACCCTGCTTTGCAGTGGGGTCAGTGGGGTATATGTATATTGTCGTGTATGGTCAGACCCTCCACCGACCGCCGAAGCCCCTGTAAAAAGCGCGTCAAACTGGCAAGTTCAACAAGAAACCAGACTTAAACTGAAGCCCTACCTAAAAACTCTATCCCGACCTCATGAGTCCGTGCCTGCCTGCGCGCGACTGTGCGACTCGAAACTCCGAAAGCCAACCGAAGACCCTTACTATCTGTTCCACGGGGCCAATTGCGACCATGGTGTGAAAGGATACCTTCACTCTGGATGATAGCACCTTGCACCTTGGATGGGGCAACAGCGCAATAAGGGAACTCGAAAACGGTATGTCGAAACATAGGCGAGGTGAATCCTGCTGTAGCGGACGGAAGCATGAGTAATAGAGTACCAAATATGTTTATCTACCCGCAATTTCCCTGCCCCTCGCCCCCCAAAACACAAAACCTCGTCTGAGTCCTATGCTTTCCCGAAAACCTCGGCAGGCCTCGGTGCTCTTCACGACAGCTTGCGCTTTCGGACTAACCATCTCCTCCTTACAGAGCCCTGGAAAGCAGGATTCTACGATGAGGGTTTGGGGGCTAGGCTTTTTGTCTGGGGTAGCCGTGTGGCACGAGTCCAGGTGTAAAAGGCTTTTGTCAGGTTTCAGGGGTTGGGGTTTCGGATCTAGGGACTTGGGCAATTTAGCACTCATCTTTATGTTTTAATAGTTGTTGGGATGGAGAAGAAGGCAGAAGCTTAAAGTACATCCAAGGATTGGGCGGGTCTGTGGGAGGCCTCCAACACACAAAGTTTCTGATCTTCTGTATCTCCTTCTGGTGGGCAGGAGAAGAGAAGCTGTGGGTTTGAGTGTTTGCGTTACTTCCGATGAGTCCCTTAAGCCCGCGACCGTCTACAAGAGTCCTGTCTCGGGATCCCTGGCCCTTGAGACTCTGGGAAATGGAATTGGGTTGGCTTGTCCCGTGGAAGCAACCCTGGACCTAAACAACGAAGCTCGAGCTCAAGACCCCGACCTGCGCCCCACCTTTGGATGCAGAGCCCCAAGCACGAGCAGAAACAGCAGACCCGAAAGGAGGTAAGCCAATCTGTGCTTTCTGACTTCTTCATTCAGTGTCCCCCTGTCAGTTTCAGTATGACCCCTCCAAAACCCTAGGAGCGTTGGGATCGTGGGGATGATGACGGTGGACTTCCCGGCCGAGCTGAGGTCCGGCGTTCAGGGGAGCTTCAAGGATTCAGGAAGATCGGGTTGGGGGCTTTTCAGGTGTTTCGGAGGGACTAGCTCAGGGACTCGAGACTCAGCGGATTTAGGACCTCAGGATTGAAAGAGCTGCCTGCACGGATCAAGTTGTGCCGATTCTGTGGCTGCGTGTCCCTCACCGGTTCAGATGGCCTTTCCGGAGAGGTGAGGCAGTGTTGCAAGATGCAGACACGTGGTGACATAGTGTGTACGTGCTCTTGCTTGTTCGCGGTTGCCGGTCTCCGATTGTGAGGTTTGGGAAAGGGCTTATGCAGAGCTTTACGCAACATCTGGAGTTTCAGGCTCCAGGGATGCGGGATCTCAGCGAAGTGCCCGTAAGTGCCTGTTACAGATGGTTTATCATCAGGTGGAGCACTCGTATCAGAGCAGCGTTTGCGCATGTCAATGCGAACTCTGCATCTGCAAACCGGGCATCCTGATCCTACATTCCTTGTAATAAGGGCGTCTTAAGATCAGGCCCATCTTCGACCTCTTGCAAGTCTTCGTTCTGGATATCGACAGCTTGGCATTCAGCTGCATCGCTGGAAGCTCTGCGCCCGCTCGATACATTTCTTCAGCTTCTTGTCCAGCAGGCTTCCATCAAAATAATGTTTTAGCACGTCCACAAGCCACAGACTGGTCCGGGAATCAGCGCTGTCTGCAGGATGCGTTGAGGCCATTGATGCAAGAGAGCTCTTCCTTACAGCGCGCTGCAGCAAATCCTCAATTCTAAACTCTAAACCTTAGGGCCTAAACAAACTATCAACCCGTCTACCTCGTCTTATGGATGGCGGTGATTGTTCTGAGTGTCCTGTCGCCGCCTTCAGGTTCTTTTCTTCCCCGCCATGGTCCTGTGGCTCGTGGTGTGTTCGTTTGTGTCTCGCGGGCTCTCCGCCGAGTTTCGGTGGGAGCGGAGCAAGACCTGCAGCGTAATCGGAGCCTTGCTTCAGGTGGGCTTCAGCTCCCTGGGTGACGTTGAGCAGATTTTTGAGTCTTGTTTAACAGAGGCTCGGGGCGAGTCTCGAATTCTGCGCGACAACCTATAAGCCATAATAGAAGAAGCCGTGCTCAGATTAGAGGCAAGTCGTCCATTTACAAGAACTGAAGGCACCATGAGCTCGATATCCATGGCGCCCCTCATGTGTTTCAGTCACCCGAACGGCGTCCACAGCCTCCTCAAGTATCCGAGCATTACGTGTGGCACCGCTGACCACGCCATCATGCTAGCGACTTGGTTTGGCAAGCAACTCAAGCGTTGAACTTGTAATGAAACGATGCTGAAGTTCAGGGCATGTTGCAGCTGCCAACCTCTCCTGCCTTTCACCGTTCCTGCAAGTGCTCCTCATTCCAGTCTTCCCCTTGTCTTGTTCAGGGCTATTCTTTTGACCCATACCTTGCATTGGCAGATTGAGAAATCGTTTTTTGAGTTGAAACTGGTCCCGACGAGGGGCATTTTAGGACCCCCACTCCTACTGCTAACTTCTCCTCCTGCTACTAATACTCGTTGTAGTGGCAGTAGTTTCCAACAACACGACCACGACTGCGACTACGACCATGGCTACGAATCGGACCGCGACGACGACTGCGCCTGCGGTACAGCTACGTCGACGACGACTACTGCTGCTGCTATGACAACGACGAAGACGACACTGTTACTCCTGCTGCTGCTGCTGCCTGTTGCTGCTGCTGCTGTTACTACGTTCGTACTAGTGCAACCGCGACTGCGACTGCGACTGCGACTGCGACTGCGACTGCTACTGCTACTGCTCCTGCTCCTGCTCCTGCTCCTGCTCCTGCTCCTGCTCCTGCTCCTGCTCC